ATATGGTTACCTTCTCCAATCTGATACCCTCCAAATACGTTGGACTTCCTGTCCCATTGTTCCCATGGCTAGATGAGTTAGTGGTGTTGACAGTAGGAATCCAACACATTTGAAGATTGCAGGGTTTTGTGTCTTCTATCTTCCAGGTTCAGAGCAGTTGGATACCCCAGTGGGTTCCACATTTTCCATGTTGTTTTCTGCTTTGCAAAGCAAACACCTAGTGTGGGAATTAAGTGTAAACCTACAGTACATCCAGCACCATAAAAGAGAAGGAGGAAAAAGGCACGGGTGTCATCTTGGAAGAAAGGCAGAATATCATTGTAACTGTTAAAGATAAATTCCCCAACATTATTAGGGTGCATCTCGCATGAGGGATTGGCTTTCCACAAAGCTGTGATTGTTTCAGGGGAATGCCCGTTTCTGTTTATCATTGCGAGAAAACTATTTGTATGGGGGGCTAGATGATAAGAACAAGAAAAGAAAATATATCACTAGCAGGTGTAACATATGAGAGGTGTTCAAAGGCACCTACAGAGTGACATGTTTGTTTTGAGTGACTATAATTTTAAAAAGGACCAGAACAGCTTTTGTGTTTGCTTCTGCTAATACTCCTTAGTAGAAAGAGAGACAAAGTAAGGCATTATAAAACTTACAAGCGGTGCAATTAAACATTGAAAAATAACTTGTCAAGATTCCTCTCTTGCTGAAGGCTAGGAAGAACAATGCAAGATTTGTTGGGAATGGTTCATACAAGCTTAGGCTTGTTATAAAGAAAGAAAACTTTGATTTCCCCCCCCCCCTTTAATGATGTAATCTCATCTCCCAGAATCTGTCAGCTAACTGAGGTTCTGGAGATATGAAAGATTGAACATTGGATTTTCTGCAGTCATGCCTTCTACCAACATAAGATCTTAATGGAAGAATATATACAAAGTCTTTTTTAACTGAAAAGGCCAGAAATTTAAGTCAGCACTTTTCCCCTGAAAAACACTCAAATTGTAGTTTTTCTGTAATTAATGCCATATAAATATAACTGTTTCTCCCCCTGGTAAAATGTTTGGTGTCCTTCAAAGCTACGCTCTTTCAGTTCACAACCTAATTAATTCCTTTCAGGGATATGCAACTTGTTACTAATCCTGCCTGCTTTGAGGTCTTCTTTAGTAATGTTATATTCCAATCCTCCATTTTTCTATGGGTTTAAAACAATTGTAAAGAACGTTGTAATCAAATATAAACATTTCCAACCAATGCAAGTTTTGTACATATCTTACCCTAGTGTATGTTTAATTGAATTGCCTTATAATTTCTTTTAATGCATATCATCTTGATTTCATTTCTTTTTTTATAATTTTATTAAAGTTTACAGATACAAAGATAAAAAACTAATATAAAGAAAAATATAAAAAATAAAAATAACGCAGAGAAAAAGAAAGAGAAAGAAGAAAAAAGAAAAAAAGAAAAGAGATATATAAGGAAATTACTTCCCCCATCATCAAAACAAGTACTAACAATTTCAGTGACTTACCGCCTTCTCTGATACTACAATCTTGATTTTGTTTCTGAAACACAGATGGCACAGATGAAAACTTTTAAAATGCTAATTTCCCTGATGTAAGCTCCCTTTTTCAATGTAATTACCACTGTTCCTACAGAACTTTCAGAAACATACATCCAGATATATTCCAAAGCATCCTTTTGCCTTTGGATTCAGAATGCTCTGAGCCACGCTACCTAGACCATGAGAAACAAGTCGTACGCCTTGAAATCCTGAACTGTTTCAGGACTTTAATTCTGCTCCAGATACATTTGCTGGAGTAAAAGATGGTGGAAGATGCGTGCACCTTCTCTGTTGTGGCACTAGGGAACAACACCCCCCTGAGATTTGTCTGCCTCCCCCCTCAGCTGGGTATAAAAGAGCCATGAAAATGTGTCAGTTTCCACCCAGGCCCTGAGTTAGAGTGAATGGTGGGTGGATCATGTCTATTTTATTGCTTTAGGATTTTTTTTTATCTTCTAGGTATTTGGAGTTTTAATTGCAGTTTAGGAATGATTTGCTTGTAGACTGCCCAGAGTCATTATAGAATTGAGCAACCTTATACATTTAATAAAATGAATGAACAAATAAATGCTCAGGATTGGGAATCCAATCTAAAGCATTGCACAACTCTATTACTTTAAAATTAAAATAGTTCTATAACTTTCTGGGTAATGGACTGGCAGAGTAGTACCACAGAAGGAGATGAAAGTGTTTATCTTAAAAATGAAGAAAAAAATATTCTCCCCCTAAAACAAAGATGCTCTCAGATAAGGGAAGGAAATTCATTCAGCAGCAACGTTGAGGTAGTCGTATGTTTCTCTTTGGGGAAAAAAGGGAGTGGGGAGCTCTTCTTTGCACTCAGCGAGGACCGGAAGCTTGAAAGTTAAGATTTTTTTTTAAAAAAAAAAGATAAATCATCCTTTAAATTGATGTTGAGTCCTGGTGATTTTTTCAATATATCCATGTTTGCAGTAGCATTTTTTATTTTTATTTTTTTGATGGAGGGGCTTCCTAATGAAGCCTACAGCTATGTGATTTTCTGGTGGCCTCTCATCCAAGCGTTGTCAGTTTCCAGGGAGAGACCACTTAGCAGGCTCTGCCCTGGTTAGCTTTTGAACCCAGGCCAGGCTGGCCAGGTGATGCCAATACAATTAAAGAATTTGAATGAGGACTGTAGCAAGTAACAAGTGTTTAAAGCAGTGTTTCTCAACCTTGGCGACTTGAAGCTGTGTGGACTTCAACTCCCAGAATGCCCCAGCCAGCAAGCTGGGGAGTCGAAGTCCTCACAGCTTCAAGCTGCCAAGGTTGAGAAACACTGGGTCAAAGCCTTCCCATTACCTTGCTGTGTGGGCTAGGGTCACAATCCAGATCATACATACCCCATTGTCAGTTAGTTCCCAGGGAGAAAACATGATGCTGGAGAATAGAATTGTACAATTAAGGTCAACTGTAGCTCAGCTCTTGGATTATTCAAAAGGCTGATCTTGGAGAAGCAAGGATGAACACTTTCAGGTATTTCAGAGAGGCCTTTTATCCTGTGACAGGAGCATGCATCAGCACTCCTTCGACACATCTTGTTTTTGTTTGCAAGCCATGCAACCTGTTTTCCCTGAGGCAAACTTGCTACCATTTAAACCAGATCAGTGAGATTTACTACAAGCTGGATTTGATGATCCTTGAAATTTGCTGGAGGTTATGACAATCCAAGATCATGATGGCAAGAAGCCAACTTCATATTGCATGGCTACATATTTTTCCAACACTGTCCTCTCTAGACCTGTTGGCCTTTGGCCATTTATCTGGACATCTCATGGATGCATTCGTGCAATTTCTTGGCAGCAATATGGAAACAGATTGACATTGTCTTCTTTCTGAATGTTTTTTTCCCCCCAATTTCCATTCTACCCTACAGCTCTAGTGTTTCTTCCAGGTTTCGCATCCATGAACCAACCAGTTCTGATGAGCTTTTCAGACTCAACCAAGATTGATATACATACATATATACATTAATACAAGGTCTACTTTATTGAATCCACTAATTAAAACCTTTAAAAGTCAAGTATCCTTTGAGATAAGCTGGACTCCTGGTGATATTCTGAATGTGGTAGCATTATGGAAGCAGTTTGCCACTGCCTTCTTTGTCCTTTCTTGTAGCAAAGCATCTTTCAGAAGTACTGCTGAGGAGCAAAAAGTGAAAGAAAGAGATGCTGAGTCCTTACCTGGTTGGTTTTTTTCTTGCTCTGTTTCCTGATATCTCCCACATTTTGTAGGCCATGCCAGAAGTGGATATCAATGCCTTAATGTACCTGGACTGAAGATGTGTTTTTTCCTGAACTGACCATCTGACCAAAGTTAACATCCTAACATTTTTATGGGATGGGAAACTTAGTAAAATTTCTAAGTTGAACTAAACTCCATGACTTCCCAGGCATGTCTGTGCTGTTTTCTTGGCAATGATAGGAAGGAGTTTAACAGTAACACCTTTTTCTTAGATGTTTCTTCAATCTAATCACCAGTCCTGGGCTCTTCCAGAAGCTTCCCACCAAAGGACTAACCACATTTGGCCCTGACTACCTTTCTGAGGTCAACCAAAGTCAGTGGCATAGCCTAGTTAGGTATCTCATGGACACACCTATGAACTGGGCTAACTAAAGCCTGTAGTGGGGCTGAATGCTCATATCAAGGTGTAAAGGAATAAATAATATTTAAGCAGTCCTCTGAGAAAAATACTATGGAAAAATCATAATCCCTCAATGTTTTTGAGTCCTACAGTTAGGCAAAGTCACACAACAGAGGACTTTTGAAATTTATTTTATTTATTTATATTTCAAATGTGTCACCGCCCATCTCACTGTGGAGTGACTCTGGGCGGTTTACAGTAAAGACTTGAATTCAGCATCTGTTCACACAGACAATTATAGCTTAGACTCATATCTGTCCTGACCCTCTCTACAGGGAGTGTTGTTTTACTTTCTTCAAGAAAAGAAAAAAAGTTTCAGGTAAGATGAGCAAAGGAACCTCTTCATCTTTTCTTCTGCTCATAGTCCTTTCTGTCAAGACCAGCTTTAGAGCAGGAAGAATGGCCCCAAATTCTGGTCCTAGCATCAAGATACTGACAGG